TTTTTTTTTTTCATTATGTGGGTTTCAGGGATCTCACTTGAGGCCTTAGGCTTGGTGGCAAGTACCCTTATGTGGTGAGCCATCTCACCCACTAGCCTGTTGGTTGGTAAGAAATGATTTTGAGCTCTGTGTGGTGGTAGAGATAAGTGTGCAGTATCATGGAAGCACATACGTGGATGTGCTTTTTAGGTAAGTGATATCTTACCCGAGACTTAAAGGACAATAAGATTTCCCGAGACAGGGCAAAGTGCAACCACAAAGAGTGGATAGACATGACTTTTTATGGAAATGCAAGTAAGAAAGTTGGTTGCTGAGGTGTGGTTAAGCTAGATGAGGATAGGTGATAATGCAGGGCCAGATTTATGGAAAGGCTTATTTGGACTTTACCCTGAATGCTGTGTGGAATATTGAACAGTATTAAATAATAACAAGGCAATTTTATGGGCTAGGGCAATAGCTCAGTAAGCAAAAACTCACACTGCACAAAACCTATTGACTTGAGTGTGATTCCTGGAACCCACATTGGGGGAAAAAAAAACCCACTGGATGCTGGGGCTCACATCCCATCCGTAATCCAAGCATTCTTACAGCAAGATGAGAGGCAGACAAGAAAATCAACCAAAGGTTACATACACAATGCAACCACAAGAAACCCTGATTCAGAATAAGGTAGAAGAAGAGAATCAACACCCGAAGAATTGTACCCTGCCCCCGCATTCCATGCACACCTACACAAAATTAAAAGTACATCCTAATTACATTTGCATTTGAGATAGATAAAGGGTATGTTGTTGAATTTAGGGGAGACTAGCTAGGAAGAAATGGCAGTAACCAAGGTAAAGCCTTAGTGATTTTTTTTTTTTTCAGGTCAGGATGAAGGCAAGGGACATCTATTGTTGATATGCAAAATAAAGCCTGTAGCTGTGTTCATTTAAGACAGTGTTTCATGCAGCATTTGGGAGGTGCAGACAGGAGAATCAGAAGTCTGAGGCAGTCCTGTCCTATGTGAGACCCTGTCTCTGCAAAACAACAAAAAACCAGAAAGACTGCTCTTGTTCACTGTTGTGTGGCTGACAGTTTCCAGGTTATCAGCTTGGGCAGTTATGTGACTGCCAGCAGAGCTGGGCTACTGAGACAGTGTGGAGAGGGCTTGGGGAGCAGTGCTGGGGAAGATGAGGGATCAGATTTCAGTTTGAGGTGTCTTTGGGACAGCCAGGTTTAGATATGTACATGGAAGGAGGCGGGGTCTAAGATTCTGAATCCCACAGCCTGACTTGGATATGCTGCTTTGAGGTCTTTAACAGAGAGGTGCTTGTAAGTAGGATGGGAATGTTTAGAAGCAGCAGCTGAAGGCTAGGGAGAGGTGGACATGACCACTATGAAGAGAGTATATATAGACTAAGAAAGGTGTGTCTTGGTGGCTCACACTTGTAATCTGAGCACTTGGGAGAAAAAAGGTGTGTCATTTGGTTGGTCTTTCAGTCCCTTTGCTTTTGGATAGTCTTTCCCATAACCTATCAAATCTCACTCTATTTCCACAGAACAAAAATAACCCAAAGCCCTGGTTACTGGTTTATGTTTGGCTAGTGGTAGGAGGAGATTAGCTATAAATGGTAGCGTTTCCTTATCCAGGAGGGTGGTTTATACCTGTAATTTTATCACGTGGGAGGTAGAGGCAGGAAGATCTGGAGTTCAGCATCATCTTTAGCAACTTGGGAGTTAGAAGAAGATGTCTGCTTTTCAATTATTTGTATATATGTACGTATCTGCTTGTGAGTATAAGTGTCCACAGAGGGCAGAAGAAGTCACCAGATCCCCTGGAGTTGGAAATACAGTTGGTTGTGAGCTATCTGAAATGAGTGCTAGGAGCAGAACTCAGGTCCCCTGAAAAAGGGGTATACACTTTTTACCACTGATACATCTTTAAATCCCCTAAAACTGTTATTATTAAACTTTTAAAATTCGTGTTCAGGGCTGAAGAGATGTCTCAGTGTAAGAGCACTGGCCTCACTTCTTGAGGCTCTGGGTTCAGTTTATCCACCCACTTGGCAGCTCAGAGATATCTGTAAGTTCAGTTCTAGTTGCTCTGACTCCCTCTTTTGGCCTCTGTGGACCATCTGTATATAAAAAAGGCACAGACATACTTGTAAACAAACATGCATTCATGTAAAATAAAAATAAGTCTTAAATGAAATTAGTGTTCACAGCAGCTTGTATTATAGTTTCCATTTCTTGTATTATAGTTGGCATTTTCTACGTCAGCACTGGCCTCACTGGCCACCTTTATGTGTGACAGAGCTTGTAATAGCAGGACTGAGTGCTCTGCATGGATGGTAGCTCTGGGATTTAGTTTATTTTCCTAGTTTACAGTGTGGATTATGTGTGCATCTGCCCTGGCCAGTACCCAGAATAGAACGGAATCAGAATGGACATTGCTTGATGGTTTTGCTACCATAAGGAGACTAGGCATCTGCTGTCCCAAGTCCATTCTCTTGTGAGTAGGAATAGACCTAGAGGTTTCCACTGCTTCAACTCAGGAAACGGAAAGGTTGGTTTTATTTCTCACACTTATTTTATTGTTATTTTTCTCACTGACACTCTTAAATAACATTCGGTAACAAGTGGCTGGGTGCAGAGAGATAGCACTGCAGAGAGAAGAATACGCAGGGATTGTGTTGTCTGGCGAGCTGCTTATCTCCTGCACAAGGAGGCCAGCGTGGTAGAGTGAGACACTCTGGCACACTATCTACCATTTTGGGGAAGAGTGTAATTGTTGTGGGAGTCTCTGAGTCCAGTCGGCTTCAGTTACTTGAATTATTTAATATTCTGGTGAATCAGAATGTAAGTAAGGCGTTAACTGAATTTCTGCAAGGACAGTGACCTTGGACAGGTGTGAATAGGTAGTGTTGGTTGGCTGTGTAGTCCAGCCAACTGTCAGAAGAACCCTTGTCCCTCTTTGGTTTTCTACTATGTATAGGTTCGTAAATAAGCACTGCACACCTTCAACCTAAGCAGTCAGGCAGTGAGTAATCTCGAAAGAAGAGTAGAGGAAGAGTTAAAGTACATAACCAGCCCTTTGTCCTCTCTTGGAGCTTCCTCTCTTTAGCATCTCAGTGAATGTGGCTGGTTTAGGTAAGGTACTCTGAAAAGTCTATAGCGGGCTTTCAGGTCTGTGGTCTTCTTCCCAGCTGCATATCCAGACCCCACTCATTCTCATTTGAGCCTGGCTCAGATGGCAGCTTCATGATACCCTTATCTGATCTCCCAGCTGATGCAGTCAGCCTTTCTCTGAAACCCCATGCAACTCTATCATCAGCCTTTTCTGCCTATTTGTTTGGTAGTTATTAGTATATACGTTAAATACCCTCTCCCCACCTTCAGTTAAAAGTTAGAGAGGATGCTATTTCTCCTGGAATGTGATGTCACACCGCAGACAGCAGGAAGTTGGGGGTGGGGTGGAAACCACATTAAACATAGCTAGGAGATTTGAATGTTGGCTCGTGACTCGTGTGTGACTAGAGACAAGTCACTGAATGCTGCTAAATATTAAGTTTATACCTTTAAGTGTATGGTAATTGGTTGAGGGTGTAGAGTGCTTGCCTAGCATTGATGAAGACCTGGGCTCAACCAAGGAGTCTAGTAATTATTCCCAAATAGTTGTAGGGAGGTTTAACCTGAGAAAATATGTATGATCTACTTTGTAAATTCTAAATTCCTACACAAATACTTGTTAGTATATACTAAGTGCTCAGGTACTTGAATAAGATTTGCATTAGTGGACATTTTTTCCTGAATAGTTTTCTTACTTAATGAAGTCTGCATGGTTTGCAAATTCTCTAAATGACTCTCCCACTGTATTTTCTTACTAAATTATCCTCTTCCACAGAATTGGCATCCTCCTTACCCCATGTAGGTATAATATTAAAATAACATATGACATTTGATCCGTTTCAGCTCCTGGAACATGGCTGACATGCAAAATCTTGTAGAAAGATTGGAGAGGGCCGTGGGCCGCCTGGAGGCAGTGTCGCATACCTCTGACATGCACTGTGGGTATGGAGACAGTCCTTCCAAAGGTAAGCAGACCCCACGGCGTGCCTTGTGAGGTCCTGGGCTCAGTTTTTCTCTCCCGGGGAACTTTCTTCTTTGGAGCCCACCTCCCAGACTTAATGTAGGTAGTTCGTCTCCTGTGAACAGCTAAGGGAGGAAGTGACTGGGCACGGGGAGGTCTGTGGTTAAGTAATTTTAACGCAAGAACTTCCTGCTTATGTGGTGTTTCCTGTCCTTTCTTTAGCAGAATGACTGTCATTCTGTCAAATGACAAGGGATTAAAGTTTCTTCTTTTTAAATGATTTAGCCAATTAGCCATTTTACCTATACAGTAACCAACACATAGAGAGAAAAAGATCCTGGAGGATCATCATGCTTATTTTCACTTTATAGATGAAAAACATTAAGCTCAGAGAGTAAGGATGTCACGAAGGAGCTAGCGGTGGTGCTTAGAGCCTCCGCTGTCCACTCCTGCTCTGGTTTTCTGTGCAGTGTGTCTCCTTGGCTCTCCACTTTCAAGAAATGTTCCCCTTCTGGGGAGATGGTTCAGTGGCTTAAGTGCTTGCCATACAGGCTTGAGGATCTGTGTTCAGAGCCACTGAAGCCACTGAACACGGTAGCATATGTGTACAATCTTAGTGCCCCTGGGAGCGTGAGGGCTCGTTAGCCAGTGTGTGCAGTAATGAACAAGAAGAGATGCTGCGTCAAGTAGAGGGCAAGGAAGGACTTATACCTCAAGTTTCCTCTGACAACCACATAAGTACCAGCCCCCATCACTCAGATTTTTTTTTAATCCTCTGGTGGATGACGGATTCTTCCTATTGTGTGTGTCTGCCTTCCTCAGGAACAGTTCCATATGTGCAAGCATTTGACTCACTGCTTGCCAATCCTGTGGCGGAGTACTTGAAGATGAGTCAGGAGATTGGGGGAGACGTTCAGAAACATGTAAGGACTTGGGGCCTTTCTTTTCCTTCCTATTTAAGTATTGGCAACTTTCTTCACATCTCCTTCATCTTCAGCTTAGGGACCCTCTGGGAACTCCCTGACTCCTTTTCTTCTACCTTCATCAGTCCAGGCACAGAAATGGTTTCATATTTCTAGGCCTCTTGTTTTTACTACATATTCTATGTTCTTCTTTTATGAGAAATTTTGCTCACAAAATACAACTGTGTTCATCTTTGTGGTGGAGAATGTGCTAGGAGTCTTACCTTAATATTATGTAACTAGGCAAAGGGTGGCTTTTTCGAAACAATGATCGTGACCTGGCATCTGTAAAATCATACTTGATAGTTATTAGCTATGCTAATATGGGTTACTTTTGCACCTAGCGCCCTGTGAGACAGGAAGTAGGCAGTGACAGATGCCTGTCCTCCCACGCCCCTGCATGTGCTGCCTCCCACATTGTCGCTACCACCTGTATCCCACACTCACATATACGCTGCATCTCTTTTGGCACCCAGCACCTTCCTATTGGCGCACTGAACGATCATTTAAAAACAGTAACCTTACTTAACCTCTTCCTGACTGACCGTGAGTGCCTTGTACTCCAGCAGTTGGCAGTGCAGGAGAGGTCTGAGCTCTGGGGAGCAGCGCTGGGGCTTCAGTGGTGGGGAGCGGTGTTAGATTGTTTACTCCAGATAGTTCTGTAATGTTTGAAGATTTAAATTAAAAAAAAAAATTATCCATACCAGTTGTGTGCATGGTGCCAACAAGCCAGAAGAGGGCACTGGATCCCATGGAAGTAGAGTTAGAGATGTTGTGAGCCATGGTGGATGTTGGGAATCAACTCTGGGTCTCTTGGAAGAATAGCTGGTGCTCTGCACTGCTGAGCCCTCTCCAGCCCTTTGGGGGAAAACCTTAAAACATATGTCTCTTTCATCTTTGAAAGTGCAAATCCAGCTGCATGGTAGCTCCTGCCTGTCATTCTCGTCTTGGGAGACTAAGGCAGGAGGATGCCACAATTTTAACATCAAATTAGGCAGGCTATAAAGTAAGACCCTGTCTCAAAATATCAAAAAATAAAATAAGGAGCTGGAGAGGTGCAGCTCTTTCAAATGGCCTGAACTCTCCTCCCAGTACCCATAGCCATTTATGGCTCCAGTTCAGGGAATCTGACACCCTCTTCTGACCTGCAATGGGATCTGTACACAGTGAGGTATATGCACACACAGACAAACGAATAAAAATAAATGTAAATTTAAACAAATTTACATGGAGCCAGGATGTATTCTTGTGCAGTGGTAAAGCATTTGCCTAGCATTCACAGAGCCCTGGGTTCTAGCCCTACTACCTCAAACAAGCAGATCCCAGAGTATTTCATATGAATGTGTTTAAGACAGCTTGACAGTTCCCACAGGAACAGTAGTAAATGTGATTTTGGTGTTAGTCCCTGGACTCTGGAATAAGTGAGGCAGACAGCATGGAGGGCTTAGATATTACCAAGGTCTGTGGACATGGAAGTTTCAGGTTATGCTTAAGTGTCATGGACAGTGTATTGTTTTCTTCTACAGGCGGAGATGGTCCATACAGGCCTGAAGTTGGAGCGAGCTCTCCTGGTTACAGCTTCCCAGTGCCAGCAGCCAGCCGGTGTAAGTTCATTACTGGATGGTTTGGTCTGGTCTGATGCTCAGGGCAAACTGAGAAATTTGTAAGAGGCTGTCACACATGCTACAGTAGACCCACCACGCTCACAGTAACGCGCAGACAGAAGGCAGCCCTGTGGGGATGTGCTTGGGTAGTTACTGGTCCCTGTTGACTTTTTGTTCTCTGTCATTTTGTCCATTACTTTAGTTGTTCTTGGGACGTTTCTGCTTCTGGTGGTAAACAGAACAGGTGGCTCTGGTGTTTTATGATGGGTGGCAAGGCTGTTGTGGGGATCGGAAGCCTCTGGACCTGGGAGTCCTTTGTTGCTGATCTCAGAGTCTCCCTTTAACTCAACTCTTACTTCAACATTTTGTGCTACATGTGAAAAGTTAAGTTAGAGAAATGAGGTTTCTCAGAAAGAAAGATTTTTAGCTTATTGTAGGCTTTCCTAGTTACTGAAGATGTTAAAACAAGTCTTCCTGCTAAGGCTGAAATGAAACTCTTGATCCTTGTCATGCTAAGTATGTGAAAATATTGCAGATAGTTTAAATATCTGTCTTGAGTGACAAGAGGGTTTTACTTGAGTCTTTTCTCCAAGCTTATACTTTGCCAAATTAATACAGCAGCTAAGACATTGTCATGTTTTAGACCAAGGTTAGCAAAACTACAGGCCGCAGGCTGGTCTCATCTGCCACCTGTGTATGGGAATGAAGTTTTTGGGAGAACAAGTATTCATTGACTGGTCCTTTAGTTTTCACACTTCTCTTTAGACTGTGTGCACATAGGACCTGAGAACTGACATGTTAGGAAACCTGGTTTTGAAGGGAGTGTCAAAAATGGAAACAGAAGGCTCATCCATTTTGCTAAGTGGCTTTGAATGGCAGCATCTCGGACAGCATTTGAATCACCAGATCTCTACCCAGCAGCTGCTGTGTGGCTCAGGGTGCCTTGAGGACAAAGGGGAACTCAGACAAAGCCCTTGCCTTTGAAAAATTAATAGAAAAAGAAAGGCATATTTATACCAGGCTTGTTAGTATACCTTTAAGCCTAGCATTTTTAAGTGGAGACAGAAAATCAGGAGGAGGGTAAAGTCATCCTCAGCTGCATAAAGACCAGCCTGGACAGCGTAAGACCCTGTCTCACAGAGAAGCAAAGAGGAAAGGAAGAAGACACATGGGTCTGGACATAGTTGGCAGTGTTGTGTGGTAAGGTGCCAAGATTGGTTATATTGACACGTGATATAGCGGCTTGCGGCAGCTGGGGTTAAACAGGTGCTTGGGAAGGATTTGGATAGGTGGAAAAGAGAACATAAGGAACAAAAATAAGCTAGCATCTTCTGTCAGTGGGTCAGAAAAAGAAACAAGTGGCCTGAATGGTGGGGCTTTTCTGGTATAGAATATAGATGTTGAGCACAGAGTCTCTCCTGAGGAGTTGAAATTTTATGCAGAGGAAGGCTGTGAGCAATTCTTAGCCATGTGATTCAAGGTGGGATGGATAAAAAGTTTACCTTCATGCTCATAGGCCATAACAGGTTCTGCCATTGACAGGTGTTTTGGTACATGGTTATAATTTTAACATGTGGGAGGCTGAGACAGGAGTATTCTGGATTCTAGGCTATGGAGAGAGGAAAGCTTGCCTTCAGAGTTAAGAGTTGATCAGCATATCTAGCTTTTATGGAAATACTAACCACAGTTGTTTCCTGTCTCTCCTAGAATAAGCTTTCTGATTTGTTGGCACCTATCTCAGAGCAGATCCAAGAAGTTATAACCTTCCGGGAGAAGAACCGAGGCAGCAAGTTTTTCAATCATCTCTCGGCTGTCAGCGAAAGCATCCAGGCACTGGGCTGGGTGGCTCTGGTAAGAGGGAAGGGCAGGTCTCAACAGGGCGAGGAGATACAGCTGCAGAGGCCCTCAGTCACTGACTGCTTCTTCCACAGGCTGCGAAACCTGGCCCCTTTGTGAAAGAGATGAATGATGCTGCCACGTTTTACACAAACCGAGTCCTCAAGGAGTACAGAGATGTGTAAGTCGAGCCTCCCCCGGTGGGACAGGATGGATGCAGCCGGTTGCTTCCTGGAGTGACTCCTATTTTGGTTCTCTCCCATCGAGGCTGTTTCATAGAAAGCTTGGTAGATCCCAGCTCACAGCAACTGCATTTGCAAGCAGGAAATATTTCTGCTTCCATTTCTTTTTTCACTCTGAATGGCAGGTGCTCTTATAGTTTCCTAGTCCTTACCCTTCCAGGGTTAGGGGCTTATGCTGGAGGCAACATGGATTAGTGCCCTTTAAATTGCTCTTTTTTTTCTTTTTGATTACTGTATCATTACTGTATGTATGGGTTTTGTTTGTGGGTAAATCTAGGCACCATGTGCATGCCTGGTGCCTTCAGAGGCCAGAAGGGCGCTTTGGATCCCCTAGCGCTGGAGTTACGGATCTTGAGGGACACCATGGGGGTGTGAGGAATTGACTCCGGGCCCTCTGGAAGAGCAGCCACTGCTCCTCACCACCAGCCTCTCCAGACCTCTAAGTTGCTTGTGTGTATCAAATTTTGTTTTTCTGTTGCTGTGTCACATTGGTGCTGTGGCACAGGTGTCAGTAGGACTTAACCAGAAAGTTGCCTTGCACACTCACATATCCAGGGAAAGTGACAGGGAGGCTGCCTAGCCAGCACTGGTGTTAAGTAAGGGCACCATTGTGTTCTAACACACAATCATGCTGGTCCTAAGTGACTTCTCCGTTGCCAATTTTGAGCTGGGGTGACTACAGTTACTGAGCCCTGTAACTCTAGACATCATCAGTCAACGGACATTGTTGACTAGGTGTGTAAGAAATGAGCCTTCATTTGTGTGAAATGTGTCCCACACCACCACACGCTTTTTTTTAATCCTTCTCGCTGCCTGGAATTATACATTCCCTGTTGGGAATTTACCGAGTCATTTTATAGTTGAAGAAACTAGGTCTTGGGCTAAGTAATGGGGAGTCTTCCCATCAACATTTAGAAAGAGAGGGGATTATTCTAGACACAGTGTATCCTCTATAAGAAACAGAGTATTTCCTTTGTGGTTTTGCTTGTTTGTTTTTTGAGACAGGGTTTCTCTGTGGGTGGCCCCGGCTGTCCTGGAACTCGAGCTGTAGACCAGGTTGGCTTTGAACTCCCAGAGCTGTGCCTGCTTCTGTCTCCTGAGTGCTGGGATAGAAAGGTGTGCACCACCACTGCCCAGCTCTTTAGTTGTGAACATATTTTTACACGAGGCCCTGGGCTCATGGAGACCCTCAGTTCAGTGGCAGTGCTTGAGTAATCTCGGCTCCGCTTTGGCTTCCCGCACAAATACCTGCTTTTAACCACTTTACTGTTAGGTGTATTTTTTTGCGGGGGAAAAATCTGGTCCTAACAAAAAAAACACTGATAAACACTGCTGTCAAACATAGACATGTAACCCAGTGTCCCTGGAGTTTGGTCTGATTAGAGTCAGAGAATAAGGTTCTGGTTCTTTGTTTTTTTTTAGTTTTTTTGTTTGTTTTGAGCCAGAGTCTCTCTACATAGTCCTGACTGTCCTAGCTTTGTAGACTAGACTGACGTTGAACTCAGAGGTCTGCCTCCTTTACCTCTCAAATCCTAGGATTAAGTGTAAACCACCATGCCTAACTTGTTTGTTTGTTTTGAACATCATTGATGAAACCCTATAAAGAGATGGCTAAGCACTGGCTGCTCTTGGGAGGACCCTGCTTTGATTCCTAACACCCACAACCATCTATAACTACAGTCAGGGACCTGACACCCTATCTTTGCCTCCTCAGACATCAGGCAAGCATGTGATATACAGATACACTTAGAGGCAAAACACCCCTACACATAAAATAAACTGAAAAAATATTGATGATAGGGAAACTGCCACGGAGCAGAGCCTAAAAATGCCACAACAGGAGGATGTGAGCCCATGGGCAGGAGAAGTTCATATTGTCATAGGAGGATTGCTGTCAACCCTGAAAAACTCTTTCTTAATTGTGGCAGGGATAAGAAGCACGTGGACTGGGTCAGAGCTTACTTGAGTATATGGACAGAACTGCAGGCTTACATCAAGGAGTTCCATACCACTGGCCTGGCCTGGAGCAAGACGGTTAGTGAGTCGTCCTTCTCTTCTTTCCCCTTTGTCTCTCTCTCTCTCTCTCTCTCTCTCTCTCAAGAGGATCTGCTGGCTTCTCAGACTTACATCACCAAGGCCAGAACAGGAATGCTGCCAAGATGGTCCAGCAGTTAAGAGCTCTGGCTGATCTGTTAGTGGTCCTGGTTTTGATTCCCTATGCCCAAAAGGATGCTCACAATTGTCTGTAACTCCAACCCCCTCCTCTGTCTTCTTCAAGCACCAGGCACACATGGGGTACGCAGATGTGTATGCAGGCAAAATGCTCACACATAAAATAAAAAGTTAAAAAAATACAAAGACAGACTCCTATTATAAATTAACAAGCTAAATGTTATAATAAATGCAAAGACCACAGCAAATAAAGAAAAATACAGAGGATAAGGAGTGGGTGACAATATTCCTGTACTTTCTGTTCAGGGGCCTGTGGCGAAAGAACTGAGTGGGTTGCCATCTGGACCCTCTGTTGGATCAGGTCCACCTCCCCCGCCACCGGGCCCACCTCCTCCCCCAGTCCCTACCAGTTCCGGCTCCGATGACTCTGCTTCCCGCTCAGCACTGTTTGCACAGATCAATCAGGGGGAGAGCATCACACATGGTGAGTGTTTTGGCATGAACAGTTGTTAGAGCAAATTGTGTGGATTAGGCTTCATTAACCAGACACAATAGCTAGTCTAAACCAGAAACCTGGCTTGCATGTGGGAACATTCATTTGGGGAGTCACTTGTCTTCAGGTTACCCAAAGGGACATCAAACCTGAACGAAGTGGTGATTGAAGGGCCACTGAGATGGCTCAGTAGGTAAAGAGGTGCTTGCACACAGCATGGTAATCTCCGAGTTTGGTGTCTGGAAGGCACAAACTGAAGAGAACGCTGATGCTACTGTCTACATGCTCCCGTAGCATGAGTCCCTTCCACCCACAGTGAGACTCTAGTAAAAGGGCAGCTGGCTCAGTGGGTGTAAAGGCGTGCACAACACAGAGCCTGATTGATGATTTGAGTTTGACTCCTGACACCCGCTCGGTGGAAGGTGAGATAGGACCTCTGTAAGTCGTTTCCTGACCACCCTCCCCTTCCCTGCAGTAAATGTACAACTAAATGAGTAATTTTCAGAAGTAGAAATTGAACATGGGTAATGACAGTGGAAGTCATTCAGTAGCATGTCCAGGGCAACTTCCAGCTAGCTCACGGAGCTGGCGGTTTACCCAGAGCCTGTGCCCTGGTACCACATGGTCATTGTGTTGGGATGTATACTTGCCACATTGGAAGTTTGCATAAAAGGACATACTGTTACAGAGACAGTAGACAGTTCTATACCTACCTGGTGGAATTCTTAATTTTATGACCCTTGACTAAGAGCGTACTCATAAAAATATATAAAAGTCTTACACAGTAGTGGTGTAATTAAGTAAATACCCAGCATTAAGGGAAATAGCTGCTAACTCTGCTATAGCCTCTTAACAGGATATAGCGCAGCCATGAGATAGACCTTTTCAAGCAAAGGAACCATGTAATGGTTAAGATAATAGCAAATGTAACTAACTCTTGGAGCAGCTATAGAGATGTATAGATCCAGCCCCACTGAGGAAGGTGTATCTCACTGCCCTCCCACTGGCTGTAAGCTCACATAAAACAGCTTCTACCTCCAAAACCAATTAGCTTACAAACACAAGCAAAACTGGCACTCATTTTAAGGTGATGTAGTCAGCGTACTGTGGGCCAGCCTGCTTACTAACTAATCTTTGAAAGAAAGACAGAAACAAAGGAAAAAGTTAAAAATGAGAGAACATTTTAATTGAATATTAATTAACCAGATTAAATTTGTTAACAGTCTGTATGGCTGTAACCAAACAGTATGAGTCAGGACTAGACGACAGAAGAGATCCAATAACCACCTCTTCCCCGTGCGCCTATAAGCACGCTTGATGAGATTCATTGTGTCATACAAGAGGCATGAACTAGAAGGGAACTTGTGGGGGAGGAAGGGGCCATCAGGAGCTGAGGGAAAACAAGGTAATGGGGTGATATGATCAAAACATTGTATACATGTACGTGAAACACATTATTCCGTGAAATTAATACATACTAACAAAAAAGTAGAAAAATTTCAAATGCCAGCATTACGTTAGGTTAGCCTTTTCCCACTGAATTTCTTCACCCTGACATACTTGTTGTTGTTGACATGCATACATATTGTGTGTACATTTGATACATGGATTTCTACATCTGTTTTTATGCATTACATATCCTTGCTCCTTCCTCACCTTCAACACGCGCACACACTTTTTTTTTTTTTTTTAAATAAAACCATATAACCTAGAGGAAAAGAGAAACCATAAAAGCATTTCTCCAAAACTACTTTCAAGATGGTCTCTCAAGAGCTTGAGTTCTTGCTCTGTAGTTTTTGCTAAGGACTAGTGATAGCAGACCTTGTTTCTTGCCTCAGCCCAAATCTCTGGTATGAAGAATAGGACCAAAGTAGCTGCTGTCTTCTTACAGCCCTGAAACATGTATCCGATGACATGAAGACTCACAAGAACCCTGCCCTGAAAGCTCAGAGCGGTCCAGTTCGGAGTGGCCCCAAACCATTCTCTGCACCTAAACCCCAAACTACCCCCTCCCCCAAACCAGCCACAAAGAAGGAGCCAGCTCTGCTGGAACTGGAAGGCAAGAAGTGGAGAGTGGTGAGTTTAAAGAACTGGACTGGGACTCCTGGGAAGGGGGAATAGGAAGAAGGCTTTAAGCCAGATTTAGCCAAAATTGTGGGGTTCTGGCTTGTGATGGGAGAACAAAGGTGTGGGATGATGCATTGTTTTTGCCGATGTGTGCTTTGTGGTAAGAATCCTGGGGTGTGTCTTCATCAGGAAAACCAGGAGAATGTTTCCAACCTGGTGATTGATGACACTGAGCTGAAGCAGGTGGCTTACATATACAAGTGTGTCAACACGACATTGCAAATCAAGGGCAAAATCAACTCCATTACTGTGGGTGAGTCCCCCTGGCTGCCCCAGGCAGGTTCTGACCTAGTGCTCGGTAAATTCTAATACTACTGCAGTTACACTGTTGACGTGCTTCCTTTCTTCTCCTAGATAACTGTAAGAAGCTTGGCCTGGTGTTTGATGATGTGGTGGGCATTGTGGAGATAATCAATAGCAGGGATGTCAAAGTTCAGGTAACTCGATCTCTGTCTTCTCCCTTTGGCCCCTGAAGAATTAATTGAGAGACACAGCAGACTCGCAGATGTTCCTTGGGCAGGAATCTGATTCTTCAGAGGCTGTAAGCCGAGCTACTTTGGATGCGGCAGAAGTTGGCTCTTTATGAGAGCTCTTTCCAGGACCTGGCTTAGCTCAGCCCCAGTTTCTAATACCTGTTGTGTACTGGAGGCGATTTCGTGAAGTAGTGTAATCACTTAAAACAGTGAATACACCCTCCCCAGCTCATTCTCCTCATACTAAAGTGCTGGAACTCAGTTGTTGTCTTGCTTTTCTCCTACAGGTGATGGGAAAAGTGCCAACCATTTCCATTAACAAAACAGATGGCTGCCATGCTTACCTGAGCAAGAACTCCCTGGACTGTGAGATAGTCAGTGCCAAATCTTCTGAGATGAACGTTCTCATTCCTACAGAAGGCGGTGATTTTGTAAGTATTCTTTCCTTTCCCTTTTCTTTCCTTTCCTTTTCCTTTTCCTTCATTCCTTCCACAATGTCTCTTGTGTTCTAGGCTAGCCTAGAGATGGTGATCCTCTTGCCTCTGGCTCCTCAGTCCTGGGATATGGCCATATAGCAAAGGACTGTTTCTTTGCTGCTGGAGATTAAACCCTCCCTGGGCTCTGTACATGCTAGGCAAGCACTCTACCAACTAATCTATATCCCTGAAGAATATGACATTAAAAACTGAAGAAATACGTTGGGCCTGTTGGTATACACTTGTGTTCTCTACAGGCTCTTACCACCTAACCCAGACTGGCCTCAAACTCAAAATCTCCTTCCCTCAGACAATTGAAACATGACCAAAGACTTTTTGAATTAGAGAAAACTATTTGATGGACATTTGGCATTCTGTAGGTAAATCCCAACAATGCACACAGACGCCAGGTAGTCCTGTGAAGGGTGCTCCAAGGGGAAGGTCATTCCTGCATCTTTTAGCTCACTGAGAATGAGAGTGCTGTGCCCCACCCTACCCCACCCCCACCTGACCCCTAACCAGACTAGCGTCTAGAGCAGTCTAAGTCTGCTCAGGACCACAGATCACTACACTGAACAGTGCAGAGCAGCCTGGCTGCTCTGGTTAAGTTTACCTTTACCTCATTCCACGTGTTTGCCTGGTGCCTAAGGTCAGAAGAGGGCATTGGGTCACCCGGAACTGGTTAACTTGCACTGTGTAGTTCAAGTTAAGAGCAAGTGCTCTGTCCCCCTGACTAATCTCTCCAGCCCCATCACCTGTTATCTCTCTTTTTGTAGAATGAGTTCCCAGTCCCTGAGCAGTTCAAGACCTTGTGGAATGGGCAGAAGTTGGTCACCACAGTGACGGAAATCGCGGGATAAGCGAATGCCTGCGGGTCCTGTGCCCTCTCCCTTCACACCACGGGATCATCTGTATGGAGACGGTTCTTTTCTAGATTTCCTCTACCTTTCTGCTCTTAAACTGCTTCTCTACTCTGAGAAGCCCAGCTACCTGCCTTCACTGAATATACCTCAGGCTGAGACGGGCGGGACAGCAGGTCAGTGGATCTTCGCGGGAAGGTGCAGCTTCTCCGCATCAGCGCAGCTGCTCCGCAGTCCGAGCTTACGGAGCTACAGGCCCAGACTGGGGCACTGAAGCTTTCAGCTTTGGGGGTCATTCTACCAACAGTCCTTGGGGGTTAAAAACAAACAAATCAGAATGAATACTAATCTCCTAACAGTGAGCATGGGGGTAGCAGGAGCCGATGATTACAGTAGGTTCTAATCAAACCAACTTTCCGATGTTGACAAGGGAGGCCAGGCTTGCCACCCAGCATTCCAAGCCGACTTACTTCCTAAAAGCATCCTTCATTCTGCATTCCATTCTGGGTCAGTCTCAACCACAATGTAGCAGGCATTCAGCTTGCAGCTGCAGGAGCAGTACCCTTTTTTTTTGGGGGGGGGGGAAGTGTCTCAAACCTTTTTTTTTCCCCCCGTGGGATGACTGCCTTGGTTCCCATGGGGACCAAGGACTTAAAAAAGAAAAGCAGCACACTATTCCAAGGAATCTGGCACTTCTCCCCCTGCCAGTCATACTCAGCAGCTTAGGGCCTCATTCAGGCACCTGAACAGGACTAAGACCTCCACTGCAGACTGTTTAGGTCTTGATACACACCAGAATCTTGCACAGCATTGCTACTGCAAATCCCAGCTCTCCATCTAGGACATACTGACCAAAATATGCAACTTTTTTTTTTTTTTTGGTGGGAAGAGAGATTGTCCTGTGACTTCTGCCCATTTCCTGAGGCCTGTGGAAGTAAACCTTTATGTACTTAAAGTTATACAGAAAATAGAATAAAGTTAATACCAAACTTGTCTAGCTAGTCACTTGATGTTTTCTGTACTGAGACGTAAAAACATACTGAAAATGACACCAAAGATAAGAAAACTACTCTTTATTTTAGACAACCTTATAAAGCTATTTTCATGGAACCTCCCATTTCCTACCCTTAACCCTCATCTTTTTATTGAATAGTTCTGAGAAAGGAAAAGGAAAAACTGGCAGCGGGTGGACGCTGCAGTGCTGACATAGGTGCTTTCATGAAAACACTCGTTTCTCCAAACTACTACTCCACAGGAATCATCCAGCATGGGTGCTCGAGGGCCCGTGCTCAGGTAATCTGGAAGCGGTGGATAGATGTTCTTCTTTAGCCACAAGAGTCAACATCAGTTTTCAATGTGGGTTGGTCTCCAGGGGGAAAAGGAAGTCTACAATATTCGTCAATCATTTTCCTGAACCAAATCAGCAGCAGTGTGCAGCATGCTGGTAAACAGGGCTTAGGGTAGAGGTATAAAAGCCCCATCTCTTCAGACTGCTTCCCCCAGTCTTTGCAGTGGTGTCAGTGACATTTATGCCACTTGTAACATTAAGGGCAGTTAGCCAAGAATGGAGTGCCAAGAACAGCCACCTAGTTTTCACTCCCCCACCATCTCATGGTATATAAGACACACTTTGCTGTAGGGTGTGGTGGTGAAGCCTTTAATCCCAGCACACAGAAGGCAGAAGCAGGTATCTCTGTGAGTTCAAAGCCAGTCGGCTTTACACAGTGAGTTCCAGGCCAGCCAGGCTAGTGAGACCCTGTCTCAAACAGAGTAACAAAAAAACAACAACAAAAGTGCGTTTCTTCACTTAAGCAACCCTGCTGGCTGTTCCCTCTTTTGTGGCTAATTCTATTACTGAGGGTTAGGTGAGTTCTGTGGGGGCATGACAGTAGGCTTGTGGAGTGACTGCTAGGTGCCACTAGAGGGCAGCACTTAAACGGGAAAACAGCCTTAACCGACATAGAAACATCACACAGGTGATACTGTCTGAGCGCGGCCCACACCAGCAGGGCAGAGAAGTGCTTGTGTGAGCATCTCAGGACTGGGTACCAACAGGCTTTTATTTGCTCCAAATTTGTATGGGTTTTTGCCCTCAAGCTTGTTGCCCTGCTTCACTTTCTTCCATCTCCTTTAGTCACAATTACTGATCTGCCAACAGCAGACTCTTTCTTAAAAGGGAGCTCAACCATATCGAAAGGTTGTAAAACAATCTCCATGGTTATTAGCTAATTAAATTTGAATTCAACACCATATGGTGATAGGAGGCAGCAAAGGATAAGATTCAGATCTTAGATCTTTCCAAGTAGGGCATGTTAGATGATAACAGGAGAGCAGGGCTGGTGGTAAGCTAGATTAGAGCTCAGTGCATGAAGAACTGTTTGCATGGCTTAGAAGAACTGTGCTTTCCTGAACTCTGCTGCAGAGTACAAGGGCTTCACTTAAGAAAGGGTATGATGTGTTCATTAAACCATTCACGAGACAATTGAAGATGGTCCCCTTCCTTAGCCAGAAACACTAGCTTTCCTGCTTTGTCCATCTGCTTTAGTCCCAGGTGGTCCTGCAGAGAGAAAGGCCACAATGAACCCAAGAGGTTTAATGAAAGGTTTTAGATTAAAACAGAATGTTAACATTTAGTCTCAAGATACACTTTCAATATATAAGCTACATCAATATAGAGGTATATTGCTGAAGAAAAAAAAAAAAAAAGATGTTTCCTTTCAGGTCTTTGTTTTGTTTGAGTCAGGGTCTTACTTTGTAGCCCTAGCTGGTCTCGAACTTGCAGCAATCCTGCCCCAGCCTCCTGAGTGCCAGAATTATAAAAGCATGTACTACCATTCCTGGTTCCTTCAGTTCGCTTCTAAGCATTAAAAATAATACATGTGTAGTACGCCAACACAGTGGCAAACCCCTTTAATTCCACCATTTGGGAGGCAGAGGCAGGTGGATCTCAAGGCTAGCCAGGTTTATAGAGAGAGTTCCAGGACACTCAGGGCTACATAGAGGATGCTTGCTGTCTTTAAAAAACAAAAAAACAAGTAGCTGAGATTGTTCTGCCCCACCCCCCAACTCCTGCAAGATGATAGGAAAAAAAAAAAACAGAACAAAAACAAAACCAGGACCTGCTCCTGAGCTGCTCCTCAGTGCCTATAGTCAGCTTTCTGAAAAGCTGGGCAAGTCACACACAAAACTGGCCCAGAATATCATAGTGAAGGGGGGCTGAGCGAAAGAGAAAATTAACCAACCAAATAATGTTTCAAGATACAGCCCATTCTTGGGGCAGTGAACTTGGGACATGTTAGCATCCTGCAGTTACAGCGTCGTCCCCCAGTTGCCAGGGTGTCAGTCTCTTGATGGGAAGAGACAATCTAGAAGGGCAGAACAGTGCCGCTGCTTGTCTACCCCGACTTTGACGATCAGGAAGATCTTGGCTGCAATTTCCAAAGCGGCCAGACCCTAGCTTCCCTTCATTTCTACCTCATCCAAACTGCGACACCATACACATGGGAAGAGCAGAGGAAAATACGCCTCTGAAATTATGTGGGAAAAACTGCAGTAAAAGGTGTGTGGTTCAGGTGTGGTCCTTGGCATCTGTGAGTCCATCTCCAGCATAAATTCCTTAGTTTATGGCAAACAGTATCTGGATGTAGCGAAACACTGCAACTTCTGCTTGAGTAACCCGACCTGCTGCTAAACAGAATCCCTAACAGCCCCAGTTCAGACCTTGAAGGAGTTTCCTTGTCAATGCCAGATTGATAGGTTTATTCTTGGTACTGGGGAACAACCCCAAAAATCATGTACCTAAGCACATGGACTGGACTAAGGCATGCCCCCAGACCACCAAAGTCCACACCTCCGTCTATGGTTGCCACAACATAATACCTCAGTCATGTCTGCATTTACTTAGAGGCTTCTGGGATATGTAGTAAACTAACTATAAAGGAGGCCAGTTCCAAACCTTCACAAGTAAAACCTTAAAGATGCTGTATGGACCTTGGCTGGATGAGGTTGAAGTCTCATGTTCCCAGATAGCCTTGAGCTCGGTCTAAGACAGTGGACCCCCTTTTCTTATTGGGGTTTTCTCTCCACCCGATCTGGTAATCCCAGATCTTATAAGGAGCACCACATAGTCCTCAGAAAATTACAGGCCAGATGCTTTCCTGATAAGAAAACCTGTTTGGCAGGCACCTATGGATTCCTGGATCTACCCACCCTATGCTAATAACATGTCTTGGTGTCTTGATCTTCTAAGTGATCCCCCACCCATAGGATAATTAACTACTAGGTTCTCCTTATGACAGGACCTTGCTACTGCATGTAAAATGAGGCACGGTACCACTCACTACATATAGATCAAGCATCCTGACACTCCTGACCCCAGCAAATCAAACATATTCACCCTCAAAAACCCTCTCACTGCCGAGGTTTATAAATCCTTTATTTCAACTAAGCGTGCAGTGGGTGTGTGCTGGAAGATACTATCAACTTTCCACCGTGGCCACCTGAGACTCATCATTTATTCTGGGCTCCCCTCCTCCCTGGAGAATTGCCGCCGGACACCTGAACTTGCCTGCCAATCAGCCGCCAGCCCAGCCTTCATGGGCTTCTAGACTGCCCAGGGCACGTCTGCAAGTTACAGCTGACTTTGAATGTGGTCTCTGGCCAGTTTTGGTTCTCTGCTGTGCTTAGCACAGAAGATTAAGCAAGAGCTGGAACACTTCGGTATCATCAAGGGCTTCTGGAACTCCCAATACTGACAGTCTCATTCTAAAAGAGCTAATCCGTTTTAAGACACAGTGAAAAACTATTTCCCCACCCTAGCCTAGTGCATAGGACTTGCCCTAAAGCTCTCTAGCGGTTCCTGAGATCCAGGACCTTTGATTCCGTTCTCCATCCAGAAGCTGCATTCCTGGCCCCTCAGACAGTGGAGAATAACAATGTTTCTCTTTTCCTGTTTAAAAACCACAGGGCAAAGGTCTGAGGCTCTAGTAAAAATCTATAAACCAGCACCCAGGAAGTTGGTGTGAAAACAGCCTACGATGGCCTTAAGTCAGAGGGCTTGCGGGCTCTGGGTGCTCTGGGACAGACAAGGCAGGGATCTGCCGCACGGAACCCCGCAACTCCGGGGACAACCTGCAGCACATCCTTGTGTTACCTCTTTGTATAGACTGGTCTCCTGGAGGGGAATGGTTTCCTTAGCTTGGCCACTTCTGTAAAATCCAAACCACTGCAGGAGAGAACGAAGAAACAGGTCAGTCATCTACACAGCACCCTTTCAAAAATCTTTGGAGGCTGGCTAACAGAAAACTACCAGCAAAGCGAACACTGTAATAGAGCCAACAGAGCAGGCAAGAAGGAAGAATGGGAATGGAGTTTTTGGTTTGGGCGACTCACTTGTGAGTCACTTGTGTGGCCTAGGTTGGTCTTCACCTTGCAAGCTGCCTGTCTGAACCTCTTGAATGCTAGAGCTATGGGCATGTGCCAGCATGCGTTAAAGGTCAGTCCTGAAGGATGAGCTACTCTTTCTGAAGTTTTCCACTTCCCCATAACGTCTGTTTCCTTCCTTAAGGAATGCATCAACCCTGAAAGTCCCTGCGCTGCCCCGGTCATTCAAGGATGAATATACCAGCTCTTTTCCCCAAGAAGCTCCCAGTCGAGCAGGTTCAGAACCAACTCACTGTTTAGCACCGGGTCATCAGACTTCCGGAATCACATGGTTGCAGCTGCTCATTTGCCACTGTGACACAACAGGAGCAAAAAAGTGTGTGTGAGGAGTGAGTAGGGATTTTCTAACAAAATGCCTCTGTAGCCATGGAGATTAGGCTTTCATATCGTTTCCATAAAATATTTAATTTTGGGGGATACAAAGTGAATAAAGTGTAATTAATAAAAATTAAAATAAAAAAAATGGGAAAAGAGTATTTAATTTTTTTCTCTGTTTACATATGTGAAAATTCAGAGCTCACAAGGCCACCAGTAGATCTGGCCCCTGGGCTGCCTTCTCCTCCTCCCCTGTGATCTTACAGTGTGAGCAGAGCTTCAGCTGAGGTTGGTGACTCACACAGCTGTTGGTTGCTCACACGTGTCATCCCAGCACTCCAGAGGATGAGGGAGAAGGATCACTCCGAGTTCAAGGCCAGCCCGAGCTACAAAGTAAGGCCCCCCTCTAAAAGGAGGGAGCCAGAATCTGGGAGTAGGGATGGTGTCCTAGAGGAATGACAGTTACTTGGCCGAGACAAAAGACCAGGACGATTTTAGGTGGAAAAGCCAGGGAAAAGCACTCAGAAGACAAGGCATGAGAGAGAGAGGCCTACGAACTGGCTTGGGACATCTCAAGTACTAAAATATGGGTGACAAAGCTAGAAAGATCGGTCACTCTGTATCAAAGCAGACCTGGACATCAAATTCAGGGTTTACACATGGGGCTAGTGATTCGGAACCTTTCTGGGTCACGGTTCTCTGAGGATCTTATTAAAACTGTAAACCTTTTCTGCACAGAATGTAGCCATATGCTTTTACATAAAATTAGGGGTGCAACAAGAGGATAGCAGCCAGTCTGGTGTCCCATTTACAGTGAAGGCTGGTGGTGAGACAGGTTTTCCCCCGAAGCAGCTATGGTCAGCACCACGTTCACCTCTTGTTGCCACGCGTCTCACCTCAGAGTCTACAGGGTCCACCATGGTATCGTTGAGGAATTTCACCATCACAAACTTCTTGAGGGTCATCAGGTTCTTCTTGTAGGACTCATTGACACTCTGGAAGAAGAGAGGACAGTACTGCAGGCTCACTACTGTCAAGCCCTGGCAGGGGGGTTCAGGAAGTTCAGCCTTCCTTAAAACCCTTCTGACTGACTTGTCGTCAACCCCAGGCTGGATTCTGCCAGAATATCCCAAACCATGGTCGTGCCTGGGCACAGCCCATGCCCTTCCCAGAGTCTCTCAACTAAGTCTCTTGTGAGGAAACCAGCCTTGAAGGACCCCAGCAGGAGGATGTCCTTTGTGAAGACAGCAGCTTTGAGTTTTGACTTTGCCCAGTGGGCCACCTACTATAACCTCATCCTGCTGTTTCAACATGAAGGAAGGGGAGGACTTCAGGGAGGAGGAGGACCAGATGAGTCCCAGCCCAGCCACCCTAAAAGGAACCAAAACTCATGAGCACAGCCTCTCATAAACAAAACCCGTGGCTCCTGGCTTCTGCCTAGGGTATTTTTCATAAACAGTCACTGCTGCTCTCTCTCTGATGGCCAGAAAGGGATGCCTACATGAGCATGTTTGGGTGCTTACCCTCTCTTGATTTATGTCTGCCAGGAAGATGCTGTGGTTGCGATACACATCCTCCTTGATGGGGTCATGCCAGTACTGTGCCTGCACCAGGCTGAGGAAGGAAAGGAATGATCGTGCCTAGGTGTTTCTCGGCCAGCATGCCCGAAGCACGCCCCAGGGCCTAGGCAACCAAGAGACTTTGAAATGATGAAAAACCAAAGCCCCAAGTCTCAGGCCTTGCCTTCTAAGCAGGAAATACTTAGACATGTCAATGAAACATCTTGCTGAGAGAATGACAAGCCATTTGGTAGATACGGAAAGGCCAAAGATTTGGAGAAGAGATATGTCAATACTTGGCCTCCTGATTATAGTGGTCCAGGCTGTCTTTTCTCACAGCCCCACCTCCCTCCCTCTTCTCTGCTTCCTATTCATCCCATAAGACTCAACTGCCTTTGTCTCTTCCTCTCCATTGTCATCCTTTTCCTCATCTTCCTCAGACTGGGATGATGATGTTTGCCACCTCTGTGTGACTATCAGTAATCAGGACACTCTCTAATCTGTTTATAAATGTATTTGGACAAGCACTTGGGAGGCAGAGGCATAGGGTTCAAAAGGTCAAGGTCATCTTTAGCTACAGAGTAAATCTGAGGTCAGCCTGGGCTAAAATGAGGCCCTGTCTCAAAAAAAAACATATATTTGGAAGCTCTAAGAAGTTTAATTTCACTGATACTTAAAAATTCAGAGCTAGGAGCTAAAGAAATAGCCCAGTGTTTAAGAGTACGGGCTGCTCTTCCAAAGACCTCGGTTTGATTCCCCTACCCACATGATGGCTCGCAGCTCTCTGTAACTCCAGTTCCTGGTGTTCCCGTGCGACCTTCTGTCCTCCCAAGGCACCAGGAATGCGCACAGTGCACATACATACAGGTAAAACACGCAAACGGAATAAAAATACCTACTATAGAAATAAATAACGAATTCAGAGCTAAAGGGTTAGGTCACAGATAATAGTATCTGTCTGACCCACACATGCCTCTGGGTTTGACTTTCAGCATTGCAAAAGTAGAAGTTCAACAGACTGTGAACATCTATGAAATACCGTACTGTACTGATGTTGTCAAGGCTTAGGTGTTGCTGCTCACTACTCTTCCCCTGAAGGACTATACACCCTCTGACAGACAGACGCTCTATACTAGGGGTCCGCTAAGCGACTTGGGCTCATACAGGATCTGAGACAAGCTCTGCTGGAGCGTGTTAGGCGAAGGGAGGCTGGAGTGGTGAGGACACTGTGGGTGGGGGACCAGCCTCAAGGGTGGGTGTGGGTAAAAACACCCACACACCTTTCCAAGGTGACCGATCATGGCTCCTTCAACACAGTGAAAAGGGATGATGAGGGACGTCTTTGGACCCAGTCAGACCAGCTTTCTGGTGACCAGAATTTCAGGAGGCCGGTGACTTAAGGGTAAGTGTGAGGACAATCATTAAGTTTACAGCTAAGGTGATGGCGGAAGATATGAGGGCCATTCCGCTGTGAGGGGCGTGATGGAAGTGGTACAGCTCGGAGGGCACGGGCTGGGCAAACGCAGAAGGAGCCTGGGGAGGTTCACAATCAGAAGAACTGGTGTGCACTCTCAGTATCAACGTGTCCCGCTGAGGGGAGACCGGAAAAGGCTAATCTAGTCACACCACAGCAGTGAAGGAAAGTCTAGCCACTTTGGTGTTTTGAGACGGGGTTTCACTATGTAGCCCAGCATAGACTTAAATGGACACTTCCTGCCCCTTATTCCCAGTGCTAGGATTGCAAGTGTGCACCACCACAGCTGACTTTTTTGGTTTGTTTTTGCCAGGGAAGGTCTTGCTACTAACTCTCACTGGCCTGGTCCTTACAGTGTAGCCAATGGGGCGCTCAAACTCAAAGCAATGCTCTTGCCTCACCCTCCTGAGCTCTGCTGGCATTACAGATGTGAGCCACCATGCTCCTTGAGGCACTGGGAACCCAGATGTTACAGAACCCCAGTAATGTTCGTGTGTCTGTGTGGGCACATGTGTGTGTTCGTATGGGTGCATGTGTGGACCATCCTGTTGTTCCTGTGGAGCTGACACTGGGCGTTCTCTTTTTCTCTGCACCATAGTCTCTGAGGCAGGGTGGTAGGCTGGCTGGACAGCAGGTTCCTAGAATCCACTTGTCTCTGCCTCCCAGGGCTGGGGTTGCAGCTGCATGTGCCGTTGTGCCCAGCTTCTTACAGAGGTGCTGGCAATCTGAACCCGGGTCCTCCTGTTTGCACAGCAAGGATGTTATACATTCTTGGCTTCTCCCACGTTCCTTCCATCTCCTCCTTCACACCCCAGGTTAAAGGTACCCAGTGTAGGAACCAGTCATCACTTGCAGCCTGCATCTTAACAGATTCCATCTAAGGTACCCGTCTCCCTGCCCCTTCGTAGATTCCATGGTATCTACAAAGCCTGCAACCAGGTCTGGCAAATAGTAATGCAGTGTTTGATGAAATTATCAATGAAAGACTTTACAACTGCAGCTAAAAGAGAAAACACAATGACAACACTAGGAAAGGAAACAGAAAGCTGAACACAAACCAACTATGGTAACAGGCCAAACCTTTTACTTAATGGGAACTCAGCCTGCACTTATCCTCAACCTGCTTCACTTTAAAAAATGACTCTCAGTACCTCACGTCAGAGGTTCAGAGTGCGAGAGCCAACAGCCAGCTGATGACAGAACGAGGCTCTCCATTTCCCCTCACACCAGGTCATTCCTTGATACAGTCATACAGGATCTGAGCCTAGCTGACATCTCCCCTCAGGTTACAAAGCTCTTCACTGCTGCTTTCTGGGTGACAGCAATGCTGTAGGGACCTTGGTGTCCCCAGATCCATCCTGGTTGGGATCTATTCTTCAGGCGTGCTGCTGTGAAATTTTACAGGAACGCATGGCAGTATAGCTTTGTCTGTTTTTCTTCTGTCCGTGACACAGTACTCAGCAAGCCCTTTTGATCTAGAAGCTCATGCATGTAATAGTTTGAACATCTTGTATTGCTTTTTTTTTTTCTTTTTTAGTTTTTCAAGACAGGGTCTCTGTATAGCTCTGGCTGTCCTAGAACTCGCTGTGTGGACCAGGCTGGCCTAGAACTCACAGAGATCTGGCTGCCTCTGCTTTGTAAGTGCTGGGATGAAAGAAAGGCCGGATGTGCCACCACCCCCAGCGACACTTCTCCCTTAGTCACTTGCTCCAAGAGAGAGAAGAGAGACCCACCAAACTGCCTGGCACACAACAAGGCTAGCTCTCAGTCTGGTCTTCCAGTTAGGCTGCTGAAAGAATACATTTTGCTTCTGCCAGGGTAGAAGAAAGCTGTCACCCGGATGTCAGGGACCTGGGGCGTCAGACTGTCCCTGCCTAAGGTCTTCAAAAAGTCCGGGCTTGGCCCCACCCACTTACCAAAACCTTCTAACTTACCATAAATTCCCCAGTTCTCAGGCTCCCTGGGTCCCTACAGTGTGGGTCCATGCAGTGTGCCTTCTATGGAAATGAAGCCTTGAACCTTTCGGCTGTACCACAACGGTTCTTATAGCCTTTCTGCTCTTTTGAAAACATGCTGACAACTTGTATTGGCTCTTATTTCCTCTCTTGTTCTCTTTGCCTTTTTAAGTGCTTTATTAATTTTTCATTTTATTTGTTTACTGTTTCTTGAGACAGGGTTTCTATGTGCAGACCTGGCTGTCTTGGAACTTGCTCTGTAGATCAGGCTGGCCTCAAACTCACAGAGATCTGCCTGCCTCTGTCTCTTTGTCCTGAGTTCACCACCACATCAGGCCTGATTTTTTTTTTTTAAGGTTCATTTACTTATTTTTAAATTATATATTATTGTTATTTCTTAAATACGCATTGGTGTTTTGCCTGCATTGGTGTTTTGTCTGTGTGAGGAGGCCGGATCCCCTGGACCTGGAGTTACACACAGTTGTGAGCTGCTATGTGGGTGCTGGTCCTCTGGAAGATAAGGCTCTTAACTGCTAAGCCATCTCTCCAGCCCCAAGATTGATTTATTTGTATGTATGTGGGTTTTTACCTGCATGTATGTATTTCTGTGTACCACGTACAGGCAGGGCTCCCAGAGGCCATAGGGGCCCCGAGACTGGAGTTACAAACACCTGTGATATCACAAGCAGTGCTATCCTAGTGATGCTATCCTAGTGATACTATCCTAGTGATACTCCTAGAATACTGAGCACGAACGTCAGCACGGTACCCACCAGCTGCACCCGACAGCTACCCAAACTCACCGTTCTTGCACAACTCTGGAGTAAGCACCAGTGTTGAGTGTCTTCCTAATGAAGTCACAGATGGGAGAGCTCTCTCCTGGGCATCGAGGGAATCCAAAGACACCTGTGTGGGCGAAAAGACAGCTATGATGTACTCCAATAATCAATCATACACTGAATGTCCACTGTACCAGGCGCTATGAAAACCAGAAAAAATTAAAATAAATAAATAAATAAATAAATAAATAAATAAATAAATAAATAAATAAATAAGCCCAAGTGTTGAGAATTAAGAGCATTGCCAAATTCCTCCTGGCACTCCCCCGGAGCCCTCTGCCCCAGCCCACCCACATATGACTGCAACATAACTGTCACATGCACACAGTTGCCTCATCCTCTTCCTGAGGAAATCATCCGACTCCCTGTCCCCATCCCCTCCCAAGTCACAGTTCATCCATCTACCTCCTCGTTCTTTAAATCCTGTGTAAATTACTTTTGACAGTTAATACAGTACAAATATTCCATGGATTGTCACTACACTGGGTTCCTTAGGGAGTGAGAAAGGTCTGTCCATATTGAGTACAGATTCAACTGTTTCTTTAATAGTCTCCCTCCACCCTCCCCACCCCCACGTCCCCACTGTGCTACCCCTGTCCCTTTCTTTCTTTTTATGAAGATAGGGTAGGGTCTAATACAGTTCAGGTTGAACTTAAACTCTCTGAGGATGATCCTCCTGTCCCCAACCCCTAAGCTGGGATTCTAGGCACATACAAACACCATGGCCTTTCCCAGAAGAGTTCTCCTCTGTGGACCTTTGAATCCACATGTATGGAACTCATGGATTTAGGCCAAATGGGAGCTAAGGTGCGGTTCTGTGGTTCTGTGGTAGAGCTCTTGCTTCACGTGTGGAGATGCTGGGTTTTATCCCCTAAAACATACACACATGGGGGTGGGGCAGGAGACAGAGACTCACACAGAGAGACAAGAGGAAGGGAGAGGGAGAGAGGGAAGGACAGAGATCTAGCTATCTCCATGCTCCCAGGACCTGAGACTTCGGCGCCTGCTTTTCCCGGCAAGCGGACCTCTCAAACCTCATCACAGAGGCTTCCCTCTGCGGCAGATGGAGACTACTACAGAAATCCACAACCGGTCAAAATGCAGAGGTCAGTCGATTGTGAGGTGCCCGGCTGTAACTGATACAGCTACGACACAACATCCTCCCAAGGCTCAGGGAAGAGGGGCCAGAAAGACTGTAAGAGCCGGGAGACCAGCATGGCTGCTGTTGAAACAGTGTCCTCTACATAGGACAGGGGTACTTCACACAGGCAGTCTCAGCCATATGGTCGCCTGAGGAAGACCTAACACCAGCTGACACGCCGGTGCGGGTGGGGGAAATTTCACAGGGCCACACCTCTAAATGAAGAGCTAATTAACGACAGGCAAGAGTGGGAGGGTCAGTCTTCAGGGATGAGCCCCCGGTGGGTTATTCAACCCCAGGTGTTCGAAGACATATGAGCAACACTAAATGGACTCAGCAGGTTAGACACGCGCGCGCGCGCGCGCGCGCGCACACACACACACACACACACACACGTACTGATAATAGTTAAAGAGGTTATGAATTTGGGAGGGAGTGAGAAGAATTGGAGGAGGCAGGAGAGGGGTAGAAATGATGTGACTGTAACACATGAATAGGAAATAAAGCATTTTCAAATTTTTAAATAAAAAAAAAAAATCGCTAGGCAGTAGTGGTACACGGCTTTCATCTGACTGCTTGGGAGGCAGAGGCAGGTGGAGCACTGAGAGTTTCAGGCCAGCCTAGTCTACAGAGGAAGTTCCAGGACAGCCAGGGAGGGCTACACAGAGAAGCCCTGCTGGCAAACCCTGTCTAGACAAACCAAAATAAAATAAAGTTTGCACCCAAGCTTTCATTTTTGTTGTCAAATGTGTTGACAGTAATATACAGCAAGGAGACAAGGTCTAGTCCCAGTTAACACGCCTTTTTCCTCAACTAGGTGCTTCTGTCTGAATAGTGTTAAAGGTTAGAACAAAAAGCTTACACAGTCTTTTTTTTGCCTAAGCCTAATGTCAATAGCACAGCACAGACGTCAGAGAACAGAGGATGTCATTCTATTTCCCTCTTTACGGTAGTGCTACGGTGGGACCCGGACCTTGCTCATACTGGACAAATGTATTAGCACCAAGCTACATGTACAGCCCAACTTATTTTCCCAACTCCTCAACCACTGTCATTTGGATGGAACACTTACCTCTATGAAATCTCATCAACTAAGTAGAAAAGATGGCTACCAATGATTCGTGTGTGCTACAGAGCTTTGCAGTCCGGGGAAACTTCCTACTTCCCCATTGGTGTCGACTACTTTGTTACCCTGCAGAAGTGGGATTTGACAAGGGTGACTGACTTAGCTTACGAATCAAAATACTAAATGTTTTCTTTCTTCTTTCTCCTTCTTCTCCTCCTTCTTCCTAAGATAGGGTTTCTCTGTAAAGACCTGGCTGTCCTGGAATTTGCTCTGTAGACTAAGCTGGTCACATAGATGCATCTGCCTCTGCTTCATGAGTGCTGGGATTAAAGGAATGAGCCGCCACCACCCAGTGCTCTTACATGGTTTTAAAAAGCTGGTAGGCAGGGCTGCAGAGATTGCTCTGTGATTGAGAGCATGTACTGCTCTTGCAGAGGACCTGAACTTAGTTCACAGCACCCATGCAGGGTAGCTCACAACCACCTATAACTCCAGCTCCCAGGAAATCCAACACTTCAGTCCCTCTCCTATCTCCCACACACACGTAATTAAATTAAAAACACACACACACACACACACACACAGTGATGCTGGCTGTGGTGGCTCATGCTATGACCTTAGCATCTGGTGACTGAAGCAGGAGAATTACTAAGAGTTTGAGGGCAGCTTGGCTACCAACCAAGACCTTATCTAAAAAGAAGGAGGAAGAAGAAGTGGAAAGACAGAAAGAAAAGAAGCAAGGAAGAAAGGAAGGAAAATGAAAGAAAAAGAAATACAAAACCCAGGATGGACACGGGTTAGAAAAGAGGAAGAGAGTCATGAGGATGAAGAGGTGAATGTTACCTTGATGTTGTCCCCCAACTGAGATCAGGTTGATCATGGGAGGTGTTGGGCATCTCTGAGCCACTGCTCTCCTGGAGAAATCAAAGGGGGCTGTCAGCGCTGATGTCAAATTAGAATGTATCAACAGTCATCTGGCAGAATAAGCTCTTTAATGCACCATGGGTCCCCAAACCAGAGTTACAGGATCTTCCTCCCCTAAGGCTGAACACAAGTCTTCTAGAAAAGGAGTCAAGAGAGGCTGGAAAGATGGCTCAGTCACTGAAGTGCTTGACCTGCAGTCCACGTAATCCACTGGATTGTATGCTCCTCCTTAAAAAAAGAAAAAGCCTAGCACAGCGGTAATCCAGTAATGTCAGCAATGGGGAGGGAAAGACAGAGGGTCCCTGTGGCCAGCCAATCAGCCAGGCTATTAATACTAAGCTCCAGGTTTGTGAAGAAACCTTTTCTCAATAGTAATTAATAGTAATAAAACAAATAAAAATGTCCAGTGATGGTTAAGCATTTCTGGGCCCCACATGTTGGAAGGGGAGAAATGATTCCTCAGAGCAGTCTGCCTTCTGACCTACACACACACACACACACACACACACACCAAGGCATGCAGACATGTGCACACACACACACAAAGTAAATAAATGTAGTTTAAAATTTGATTAAGTTAAGAATAATTCTGAAGAACACCAAGGAAGTTCTGAGTCTTCCGTTATCAACTATTCAGCTAGAAGGAAATTGTTTGTTTGTTTTTGTTTTAAAGAGAGAAGTCTCTCTGTGTAGCCCTGGCTGTCCTGGAACTCACCTTGTAGACCAGGCTGGCCTGGCAGGGGTGGTGCACACCTTTAACCCCAGCACTCGGGAGGCAGAAGCAAGTGGATCTCTGAGTTTGAGGCTAGCCTTGTCTACAGCGTGAGGCTACACAGAGAAACCTGGTCTTAAAAACAAAACAAAACAAAATAAAAAAATTAAGTGAAAATAAGGGCTGGAGAGAGATGGCTCAGTGGTTAAGAGTGTTCGCTGCTCTTGCAGAGGACCCAGGTTTGGTTCCCAGCACCTACACCAGATCATTCAGAATAACCTGACTCCAGCTGGAGGTGACCTGAGGCCCTCTCCGGCCTCTGTGGACACTGCCCTCACAAGTGCACACACCTCAACAACCTCAACACACACAACTAATAAAAAAATGAAATCTTGAAGTTTTTTCCTAAAAAAAGTAAGGTGGAAAGTAGTGGAGGAATATACCTTTGGCCTCCGTACATAGGCTCACACAAAGAGAGAAAGAAAGTTCCACACAGCTTCCTACACAGCAACATTGTAACTTCCTTTCTATGACAGGAAGCTAAATAATTACAAACACTTACAGTCAATTCATCTCAACAAAAGAAACATCAACTCGTGTGACAGTGTACTTACAGGAACTGGCCTCCCTGGGAGAAGCCGATAGCATTGTAGCCCTGCTGCAACTTTGGATCCTTTTCTAGAATCTCACACACCGTCTTCACTTGGAAATTGACATTCAAGAAGAAGCTGTTCTCCATATCCTAAAAAAAGGAGCAGTGAGAGGCGAAAAGGAGGAACCGTATGTAAATCGCATCTTCTCTAAGACAGGGACGGCCGTGGGTCAGTACCCTCCCAGAGCCACTGGAGTATCAGCTGAGCATAATGGAACAACCTGGCAGTTCAAGCACTTGGGAGGATGAGGTGGGAAGATCAAGTTCTAGGCTAGCCTGGGCTATGTATCAAAAGCCTACATCCCCAAATAAAATAAAAACCAAACCAATGGGACCATGCTTTGCTGCTAAAACTGCGAGGTGAAGTTATTCAAGTAGCACTGTCCATCAGCTCCCTCAGGGAACGAGCTGGAGTCTTACCTCGATCATGTTCTTCCCAATCTCTAGAGGGAGGACGTAAATTCCAGGTATTTCCTTCTCAACCATCTTTTTAATGGCACCCATGCTCCTGGGGTTGCAACAGCTGTCCCCTAGCCAAGAAAAACAATGATGGAAATTCATAAATCAAAACACTGTTCAAGAAACAAAAAACGTTTACATCTCAAAAGGGATTATCAAGAATGTGAAAAGGCAGCATACAGAGTTATGTTTTTTGTTCTAAAGAGAGTTCTGTGTAGCCCTGGCTGTCTTGGAACACGCTCTGTAGACCAGGCTGGCCTCAAACTCAGAGATCTGCCTGTCTCTGCCTCCTGAGTATTGGGATTAAAGGTTTGTACCCTTTCTCAGTTTTTCCCACACAGTACCCTTCCTACTTTAGAAATTCTACCTTGGTCATATGGGTATATAAAGAATGTATATAAATTAAACACTTAATGATAACAAATCATAAAGACATTTATTATAAGACAATTATTTGGTATACATAAACCATACTTATGGTATACAATCAAATCATGGTATACAAAAATCATCTCTGCATAGTGGGTCACCCTCAAAACCTAGCATTCAGGGGGCAAAGGCAGGCAGATCTCTGTAAATTCAAGAGACCAGGCTGGTTGGTCCACATGCTGAGTCCCAATGTAGTCAGACCTACATAGTGAGGCCCTAGCTTTAAATTTCAAAAAGAACTGAGGGCAGCCTGGCAGTGGCGGCACACACGTTTAATCCCAGCTCTCAGGAGGCAAAGGCAGGCAGATCTCTGAGTTCAAGGCCAGCCTGGTCTATAGCATGAATTCCAGGACAACCAGGGCTACACAGGGAGACTCTCTTTAAAACAAAAACAAAAACAAAGAATTTCCTTCTAGCCAAACAGTTGATAATGGAAGACACAGAACTTCCTCGGTGTTCTTCAGAGTGAATCAATATTCTGATTTTGTAATCGTTAGTACAGAAACACTGCTTACATAACAAATGTCAGAAGCATGCTCGTGATTACTTCAGAAACCGTTGGAAATTTTGTCCTAATCCCAAAACAAAATTCATTTCTTTTTTTTTTTAAATGAAGCTCAAGTAAGAAACTTAAACAGCAAATTAAAAGATTTTCCTTACTCTAACTGACGTGTATGAGGGTTCGCTGGGATGCATGTATGTGTGCCACACGCATGCCTGGCGCCTATGGAGGCCAGAGGAGGGTGCTGCGGGCAGTTGTGAGCCATCAGGTGAGTGCTGGGAATCAAATTGGAGTTCTCTACAGAGCAGAGGCTCTCTTCCCCACTCAGCCATCTCCCCAGCCCTCTCAAACGGCAATTTTAGAATTAATCACTGGAACACAGTAGGAAAGAGAGATGCGCTAATTTGGTTTCCACATGCTGAAGAAAATACTAAGTATTTGTTTCTTGCAAGAAACATTACACGAGTTGTTGTATGCACAGTGAGAGCACTGGGGCCACAGCATTCAGCAGCCTGGAACGTGAGTATCTGAGGCACCATTTTGTTGGTGTTTGTGACAGGACAGCACACACAGTGAAAAGCCCCCGTGTTCTGTGTTCAGAACCAAGGCCCCAGTGGAGATGCAAACACTGCCAGAAACAACTCGATTCACTTCACCCTTGATTTTGAATGACTTTTTGCTCACTGAGCAGGTACCAGTCCCCGGGTATGACCCCAGGACTATAAAACTAGACAGAGAGTACACAGACATGGTCCCAGCACTTTGAGGGCAGAGGGAGGATGATTGGAAGTTCTGAAAGAGTTAGACTAACTTTGTAACCTAAAGCCTATAGTTTTGAGTTTTAGGTTCAGGTTAAGCTAAAGCCTCTTAGTACCTTTCCAGAGAATGGAAAAATGTGACCCTATCTATGAGGACAGATAGAAAAAAAGGCAAGCAAGCAATGACCTTCACTCAGCAAAAAGAAAAACTCCTGTCTTTGAGATAGCATTTCTTAGCAACAAACCTAGACTTCTTCTGAGTAGCTTTTGACCTCCAGCCAAAAGTCTGTAGCCCCTAATCTTCAAGGATGAGCCAACCACCCCCACCTTCAATTGCAGCTGCATCCACACTTGGCAGGACTGGCCAAGCTTGAGCACCTAAGACTAACCAATTATCTTACTTTATAGCTTCCTCATCCAATCCTAAATTGCCAAGACTGCAACTTCAAATCTCCCGCAATTTTTCTTTTAAAAACCTAAAGGCCTTTGTCTCCGGAGGCCACTCTTTGCTGACCGGCAGGGGTGACCCCATTGCTCAATGGTTAATAAACCTCTTGCTTTTGCAACGAGTCTTGGTCTGGGGGAGTTTCTGGGAAGAACGAGATCTTGAACTCCTGAGCTGTGAGATCCCAGGTCTTACAGTTCAAGCTAGAGGCTAGTGTGAACCCCCATCTCAAAGCAAAAGAGAGAAATATGAAGAAGAAGAAAAAAAAGCGAAAGCCAGGTGTAGTACCACAAATGTAACCTCAGGGACCAGGGTGAAGGTCCGGGAAATGCCTGAGGCACAAATTTTAATCAAGTAGTCACTTGGAGCTTTGGGAAAGGTCTGGCCTCCATCTTGTGTAAACTTGGGAGTGAGAGCCTTAGAGCTCAGAGCCTCAGCTTGGTCCCAGGATTGTTTCCTTACCCTAAAAGTACAGGAAGCGAAGGGACCACTGAGTAGAAACCAGTGGGCTGACATACTGTTCCACTTTGCACTTGAATCGTCACAGAATTTCAACAGGATGGGAAGGTTAAGGAGAAAACACTCTGCCCTCATGACATCCACCAAGTTGTGATGATTAGGGACAAAATGAGACCTTGGCTACACACCTAGGTCAATGGTAGTGTGGCCTACAGAAGATAAGGTCTCAAAACAAACAAACAAACAAACAAAAAACCCAAATGAGCTCAAATGAGCCTTTAATTGTAGCACTTGAGGACTACGGGGAAAGGGATTGGGTCAGAAGTTCAAAGTCATTCTTGTCTAGACAACAAATACAAATTCTGAGCTAGCCTGCACTACATGAGACCTTGTCTCTGCCAAAAACTAGGTGTGCAGTGGTGCAGGTGGTACACCCCCCAAACACACAGAAACTCACATACAACAATTAAAAATAATTTAATAAAAATGGCCCTCAAGGGGGCTGGAGAGATGGCTCAGTGGTTAAGAGCACTGACTGCTCTTCCAGCGGACCTGGGTTCACTTCCCAGAGCCCACATGGCAGCTCACAACTCCCAAGATCTGACACCCTCACACAGACATACATGCAGGCAAAACACCAATACACAGAAAATAAGAATAAATTAAATTTTAAAATGGCCCTCAAATTAAACTAAGCAACACACCAAAATAATATCAACACACCCTTTAAGGTTATTAAGTCCAAAAGCAGAACCTCCATTTCTTCTCTTTTGTTTTGAGACAGGGTCTGATTAGGTACCTCAGCTGGCCTGGAACTACCATCCTCCTTTATCAGCTTCCTGAGGGTGGCAAGCACCAGTTACCCTGTTTGATTTTAAAAATTCAGACTACATATACATACCCCAAGGGTTCTCACGTCTGAGCTACCCCACCTGGGTCAAACAACTTCACTTTCTAGTTGTCTAAGCCAAAACTTGTGATGTCATCTCTTAGTTTCTCAGGCCATATCTAAATCCCTTGATGCCACCTTCAAGTGTATCAAAGTTCCACCACTTCCACACTTCCTGTGACCACACAGCTCTCACTGTCCAGCTCCGAGCTGCAGCACATCTGGAGCTTAACGTCTGCAGTGTCCCCTTGCAGCATCGGTGACACCTACAATCTATTCTCCACACAACAACTACGACAGAAATGAGGACACTGTGGGACAAGACAGACAGGTTCTCACGCCTTTAATCCATAAATCCTGATCGTACACTTCCCACGGTCCCTGGAATGGGCCTGGCCCTGATCCCTCTTCATCTATGACAACAAAAAAAGAAACAACTGACTAGCTACAGGATGAACCAGGGACTCTCCAGAACAAACAGGTCACTGAGCTTAATCTCACACAGGAAATCTCCTGAAGATTCTTCAAGAAAACCCAAAATCCTGGCTCCCAAAGAACCTCAGAAAATGCCTGTTGTCTTTTGACAAGCGCCTGAATTCCCTGTGATCTGAGCTGACTCTTCACAATCCCTTTCTTTCTATGAAAACTTCTCCCCAGAGCTCACGACTACAGCTTTCATTTCAGCAAGTGCTAGAAGTGTCTGCACGGCCATCTGGTGTCACAGACAGAACGTTCCTTTCCCATCATTTTGAAATTTAGCTAAATAGAGATGATTAGTTATGGGTCTTCCCATGTACCTCTGGCTGACCTGGAATTTGCCATGTAGATCAGGCAGATCTCAAACTTGCAGAAATCCTCCTGCCTCTGCCTCTGCCTCCTGAGTGCTGGAATTACACTCCCACACTAGCTCTCTATAGGCTCCAGCCACCACACTGGGCTCAAACAATTCTCTGCAAATGTAAAGCTGGCACCTTCTGCTACCCACCTCCTCACAAGTTCCTAGTCCAATTCCAAGTTCTTACACTAGTCTTAAAAGCCCCAGCACACGTGTCCACCCTCTTTTCCCTTGCTCCCCCTGCTCCTGCTACATCTGGACACTGATATGCCAAGCTCAGGGCCTTTGCATCTGCCGTCCCTTTGACCACATCCATCTGGAGTCCTGCCTCTTCCACCTGAGATCTGCTCAGCTGTCCCTCTCTGGGTGAATCCTGTCCTACCCTTGCTCTCTACATTCCAAGCTCACAACCCAGGCTCTGTCTTCTTCCAGATGTTCTGTCTGTCTCCACCACACCCATCGCCATTCGACATGCTGCTCTTACTTCTTTATAGTATGTTTCCCCCCGGGAAAGCATGTTCCGGAAGGGTGAGGAATTCAGTCTGCTCCATGCTCGGGCATAGCAGGTGTTGTGAGGTAGCTGTACGAAGGGCATGCAGGTGCCTGGTAGGTTTATATTCAAATGGGAAAGAATCAAAGCCTGAGGGCTCTGCCCAGCTCTGCAGGGACAGGTGGCCTGACTGTGAGATGCTGCAGGCTGCCGCCATAGCTGCTAGGATTTGACAAAGACAGCATAACCCGAGCCGTGCACAGCTCTTCCTGAGTGCTCACCAAATACACCTGGCTGCCTTCCCTCCAGGGCAGAGCAGCCCCCAAATCCGAAAACTTTGGGCCAGGCGAGCGCTGTGGAATCACTATCCTCGCCCTCCCAGCTCTGCGATGCGGAACCCGGCGGGGAAAGGACGCCCCATCCCACACCCACTCACCCATCCCATGCCAGAGCACCAGCGGTGGCGGCGAAGGCGCGTCCAGATGCCCCAGCACCCACGCCGTGCAACACCAGGGGAACAGGAAAGCAGCCAGGAGCAGCCGAGAACCGGGCGACGCCATTTTAGCAATCATGTGACCCGCGCGAGGGCCAGGGACCAAAGTACTCCCGGTGACCACGCCCCCCGGGTGCTTTAGCCTGTTGGCTGAGGTTTATCCCTTGCTCATCACCCACCAGAAACTACTGTGCAAGAGCTTTCCATCTTTTTATTGGCCTGATGCACTGCTCCCATTTTACACCCAAGGACACCTAGGTGACAGTTTTTCCTAGTGAATTGCGTCTCCTCTTTCAGCTGTGTATTAGCAGAAAAGAGCCATCCATTCTCTAACAACTGACTCCCTTTTCCTTTTTATTTTTATTCTGCGTGTGGGCGTCTATTTGTTTGTGGCACGAGTGCCACAGCGCAGGTGTTGAGGTCAGAGGGCAGTTTGCAGGAGTGGGTTCCCGCCTTCCACACCGCAGGTCGCGGGAACTGAACTCAGCTCCTCAGGTTTGGCTGTAAGTGCCCCCCCCCTCCCCCAAGGAGACTATTATTTTGGCGTGTGCGTTCGTGTGAGAAATTAGATAAGGTCCTCAGAGGCGGCAAGCTCTTCAGCACTGCAGAGCACTCACTGCCCTTAGGAAAAGGGGGGCCTGGGGAAGGAAGGGAGACTTGATTTTCATCCAGGGCGGATTATATCGTGGTGGCTTTTGTTCTGGATCTTAAAGGAAAGATAGGATTTCAACAGGCAAAAATGTAATTACGGAGGAGGAAGTTTGAACCATCCTGAGGGGAACCAAGTATCTGTTAGAGATCCGGGCAGGACTTGCAGACTGGCATGGACTCTCAGGTGCTGCGTGTAGCAGGAAGGTGGGCGAACATGGCCGCTTCCTCTCCAAGCTACACCCTGGTTTATACGCAGAGGCTGCTGTCCTGTATGCCTGCCTCCACGTCATTTCTAGCTTCTCTCAGTCCAGTCCTAGCATCTCAGTTACGGGGTCAAACATTTTCTCCCTGAAAAGAACCTCTGAATATGTTTAAAGGAACCTGTTAAATAGGCTGTGTTCACGCTATAGAGAGACCCTGACACCGGCTTTGTAAGAGATGGAGAAATCTTAGACAGAGTGACATGAAAGTCTGGAAGGAAAACCGATTGCACACCCAGACGACACCCTTCTGTTTCACACTACTGAAGCTAATAGTTACTTGGTAGTTGGAAAGCCAATTAAGTTCCAGGATTAGGATGCGCTATGCAGGGCACAGTTTGTACACACTTTGGGCCAGCCAGATTGCTCAGCTCAATAAACAGTGGCCACTAAGCCATTCCCGAGCCGTTCCTCTTGGGACTGCAGTGGCTTGAGGAGAGAAGCAAGACGTCCAAGTTGTCTTCCCATCTCTACACACCCAGCGTCACATGCCACCAATAAAACAATAAAAACAAAGAAAAGAAAAATAGGTCCGGGGCTAGGGAGACATCCCAGTCAGTAACGTGCTCGCTGCAGGAGCGTGAGAACCTGAGCTGGATCCCACATCCACAGGTGTGGAGACCTGCACCTTTATCCCAGCGCTGAGCAGGCAAAGGCAAGGGGACCCATGGGGTTGGCGGCCAGACAGTCTAGTCAAGTCAGGGAGTTCCAGGACTAGTGGGAAACTCATCTCAAAAACAAAGTAAGAGGGACTAGGGGAGAAACTGGATAGGTCTCAGTAGCCCAGGATGGCCTGGAACTCTCTATGAAGTTGTGGATGACCTTGAACTCTTGCTCCTCCTACCTCTGCCTTGAAAATGCTGTGACTATAGGCCTGGGCCACCATGCCCGGCTCAGTTTTTTTCTTTATAGATTGCTGCATGATCTGTATTTTTACAGTAAGGACACATAGCAAGGTGTGTGTGTGTGTGTGTGTGTGTGTGTGTGTGTGTGTGTGTGTACGTGTGTGTTTGTGCATATAGAGGCCAGAGGATATCCTCATTCCTCGGGAGCCACCCTTATTCTTTTGATCTAGGTCTCTCACTTGCCTGGAACTTGCCAAGTAGCCCAGGATAGCTTTCCAGAGGGGATCTGCCTGTCTCTCTGTCTGCCCAGTGCTAGGATTACAAGCACTCACCATCACGCCTAGACTTTTTGCCTGGGTTCTGGGGATCAAACTTTCTAGGCCAGCCCCTTACTGATTGAGCTACCTCCCTCCCAGCCCCTTTTCTTTCTTTTTTAATAGAGTCTCACAATGTACTCTTGGCTGGGCTGGAAACCGCTCTGTATACTATGGTCGGCCTTCAGCTCGAGGTAGTCTCCCTGCCCCTGCCTCCTATTGCTAGAATTACAGGTATTGCCTGGCTATGGAAACATAAATTTTAAAATTAGGATTTAATGAGATATACACATAAAAAAAATCGCATGTGAAATGCTTGAACAGCAAGAGTAGGGGCTGGTTCTGCTGGCAAGCGTGGGGGAAAGCGGCACACCCCTCCCGCCAGTTGCACCGCACCCCAAAGGCAGAAGAAGCTTGCGGAACAGAAAGAAGCAGTTATTACTTTAGGCAATGAAATAATTTGAGAATCATTTGAAAAAATAGGGTATAGCTTTAAAAAACAAACTTTTCGTTTATGTGTGTGTGTGTGTGTGAACACAAATATCCCATCGTGCACAGGCGCAGGTCAGAGGACTACTTTTGGGAGTTAGTTTTCTCCTTCCATCATGTGGGTCCCAGAGATGGATCTCAGGTTGCTCAGGAGTGGCAGGGACCTTTCCCTGCTGAGCCATCTTGCTGGCCCAAGTGCTTTGCTTTGTTTGTGTCCTAGGAGAAGTACAGGCGTGGGGTGGTGGGATGCACTCAGAGGCACACTGCTTTATATGCAGCATGGATTGGAGAGAGGGATCTAGGGAGGGGAAGAAGGTATTTTGTGTGTGTGTGTGTGTGTGTGTGTGTGTGTGTGTGTGTGTGTTGTGGACTGAGGTTTCCACACGCGCCCATGAGGTCAGTTGTTCCTGTTTCTCAGATTTTCCATGTATCTGTGGTCTCTGTTTCAGTTTGGGGGAAACATGCTAAACTCTTCTCTCACAGCAATGACAATGGATCTGCTGTCTTTGGCCCCAGCTCTTCTCTTCACCTTCCCACATTCCGTAGTTTAGCCGAGGAGTTAAAACTGCCTACAGGAGAACTGACAGCGTTCTTACTTCCTCTGCATTTGGTTTTTAGGAGGAAGTGTTTAGTGGAAGGTAAGCACAGTGCTCAGTTTAAGTTGTGATTTTAATAATGAGTCCCCCAAATTGCAAAGCCCGAGGTTCCATGTTAACGTCAAACAGTAGTGGAAGCGATTAACCTCCCTGCTAGTTCCCTAAACAATTTGTATCATGCAAGAAACTATGGGAACTGAGAAGCATCCAAATGCTCTTGAGTCTCAGGTTTCTTTTTTGTACACAAGAAATAAAGCACTTCATAGCTTAAACATTTTAATGAAATCGAGTGTTGGCACATGACCCCAAGCCTTGGTGCGTGCTAAGCAAGCACTGTGTCAACTGAGTCACACCCTCCCTCTTATTTCATTTTGCCTCTAACGCTGTGGTTCCCAACCTGGGGGTCATGACCTATCTGGGGATCATATATCAGATATCCTATATATCTGATATTTATATTATGGTTCGTAACAGAACCAAAACTACAGTTATGAAGCAGCAATGAGATGATTTTATGTCTGGGGGAAAACACAACACAAGGAACTGTGTAAAAGGGCCGCAGCATTAGGAAGGTTGAGAATCACTGCTATAAAGTCACAGGAGCTTAGAGCCCCCAGCAGGGGAACCCATTACTATTGTTTTGCAAAACATAAACAATGTTATGTTTATGCTCATAGGTTAGGGCTGCTCTGGACCATGGCCAGCGGTCAGTGTGGAAATTCCTGACTGGTGGAGGTCCAGAGATGAAGTGACTACTAAGTGCTCAGCCCTACATGAGACATCTGTCTTTTGAGTATGGCTCGACCATGGTACCCACAATGCAAGCAGCTACACTCACCTGCACAAGATCAAGCAGTCAAAAATCCCAGCAGGTCTGAAGCGTGGGCTCGTGAGGCTCCGCCCCTACCTAGCTGAGGAGCCATTGGCAAAATATAGCTGCTGTTGCTAGGTTACCCACGCTCACGGAGGCAGCCCTAATCCTAATCAATTGGTTACAGAAAAGGGAGAAAAAGAAGAAAGAATATGGGGGTGGGGGGAACAGGAGAGGAAGGAGGGAGAGGAGGAGGAGAGAGTAATTCGGTCTGTTATGAAGGAAGGTGTGGTACCAAGAGCAGCTCCTGTCTGGGACAGCAGAGCGAGCAGTTCAACTTGTTACATTTTGGCAGATCAGGAAATAGACAACTCAGGTTGGAAAGTGGAGTGAGAGGAGGAGGAGGAGGAAAAGAAGGAGGTGGTGAAGGTCATGAAAGCGTGACGGGCAAGTGTTGAAGAAATCCAGGGAAATAGGAGGGAGGAGTTAGAGATGCATATAATCAACACACACACACTCAAAATTGTTGGGAGGTCCACTTAAATCCACCATAACTCAAACCAGGTCAATGCAGATGACAAAAATGTATTGTAATCAAGCCGCTACTGATCAGTGAGTGCCAAAGAACAGACTCAGGAGCTGAACTGCGACCTTGCAGGGATGTTGTGCAGCATCTATAAAGGATGAAACCACACAGCCAGGGGGAGCAGGCTGGGCCGTAGATTTGTCCAATCATATCTTGACATACAGGTTGAGTGAGGGCGTTTCCATCAGCCAGGATGGGAGTAGGGTCCTGGGCCTGGGAACATGAACTCAGTTGACCCTGCCAGCGAGATGGAGAAGCTGTCCCTGAGATGTCTGGACTCAGAGAACTGTTTACTTACAACTGAAGCTGTTCAGTTGTTGGGAAGTCCGCAGCTCCCCTAGGGCCTGGGACCTTGAACTTAGTTTCTCCCTACAATTAAATGGAGTCTAAAAACAAAATGGTAGTACTTAGAATAAGTTTTTGGTTTGTTTGTTTGTTTGTTTTCACTTGTTCCCAGCAATCTCAAGCATTATTCCCTTCCCAAACACTCCTGTGCTTCCCCTGAGCTCTTCTATGATCAATT